GTAACCCCCATTGTTGTTCCATCAAATATTTGTGATCCTCCGCACCTTTCCTATTGTTCTGTATCACACTCAAGCATGGGGATAAAGTGACACAGGCAAATGTGCCTTCTATGGAGATTTTCCTGTGAGATTTTCTTATCCTGCCCCCACCCCCAACTTAGAGCACATGCATACCCCCTCTTCCCTGCCAATACACACGCTTATATTTTAAGACCTGCTGCCTTCAGAGCTTAAGAAAACAGTTTTGTTGTGGAAAAGGAAACAATTTTCAATTCATTTCCTGTGTGTTAAGCAGACATTTGTTTATCCTACCAGGCAGGCTTTCACACAACTAAGGCAATGTATTTTCCTAGCATGTTGTTGTATGCAATTTAAAAATCTTCAAAACATTCTTGGTGTATGGGAAACTGGTGCAAACACTGCAACCCACGTTGGGCTTCCCTGGCTGCAGACAGCCAGATGTCCTCTGAGCCCAGTTCCCCAGTCCCTCACTGTATAAAGTCACTACCTCCCTCTCCCCTTCTTCCTGGTCCATTTGGTAAGTTTGCAAGCAGATTACACACTGTCACCTCAACAGCGTTACCTTTCACAATGGGATCTCAGTACAAATCACAGCAGGTGACAAATTGGTCTGATTTATCATTATTTGCATTTTAAATTTATGATATTTTAGGCCCAGAGAGTTTTTTATGGGCTTTAAAATAACAGCACAACATTAATGCGCAATTCATCGCCTGTTTTTCATAAGGCACGTGGGTAGCAGTCCACTGATGAACAGAGAACACATTAACACTTGTAGTAGAATGAAGGCTTTGGTCCTCTTGCCTCACTCCCCACTGAGGTCAGTAAGAAGAGATTCCTTCACGCATAGAAAAGCCTTGCTGACGTTCTGTGACCAGGAAGAGCCTCTCAGTCATAGCTTTGTTGTTCTCCATAAAGACCAGGTGTTAAATAATCAAGATACTGTGTGTGTGTGTGTGTGTGTGTGTACATGCGTGTGCCTGCACTGAACTTCTGTAGTTTTCTAACTCAGGAACATTGGATGCTTTTAAGTTGAAGTAAAAAGCAAGAATGTCTTATTTCCTTTTCCTTCCAAAGCCTTAAATAGTTTTCCAATATTTCCTTGTCATATTTTTCCTTGCAACCCTCTTGCTGACCTACCAGATATTGTTGCTGCCATAAGTGAGTTGGAACAAAGAGAAATTTCTAGTGACATGTAGACAAAATGCTGAGGAATTTGGGAAGGTACCAGCAAAATAAAGGGGATCCTAAGTAATTTTATCACAGGGATGATCAGTGAAGAAAACCAAGAGGGCTAATTTGAAAGAGCTGCAGAAAGCTCATTATGTTCTTGGGGGTGGGAGCTGTTATCCGAATGAGATCAACAAATTATTTTTACTTTTGTACAATAGAGGTATTTCTGCAGAGAAAGAACTTGTTTGACCAGGATGAACATCCTGTGAACCATACAAGGCTGGTCTGTGTGTTCTCTGGCTCCCATCGTGTCGATAAGCCAATGAGCCTCCGTGTCATTGATTCTTAGTGCTCCCAGACCTCATTTTAGAGACTGTGGCTAAGATTAAGAAGACACATCCTGATCTCCATACACTAGATGGTGCAGCAAGCGACTGGTCTGCAGTTCTTTAATGTGTAAGGGTTTTATTCCCCGGAGCAGCTCTGTTTTTAGAGCTTGCCCATTTCATCATAACATCAAATACTTCTGTTGAGTCTGTCTAGGAAGAGTTGAAACAATAGGTAAACAATCACTTGCTTCATCAGTTTAAATTATAATCCTTTTGGGAGTTTCCTTCTTGCTTTCACTAAAGCATTTCTGTGGAGTGTTCACTGGCTTATCACATGCCCATCAAGGTACTGTGGAGGCCTCGGTGGCCACATCAAGTTTTAATGTCTTTTTAAGTCAAAGAAGATTAGAAAGATTTAGTAAATCCTTGAGCAGCTATATAATTTCCACACCAAAAATAATGGCTTGCTATCAGGCAACTGACTCCTGCCACAATTTACTGGAGGCTTGCCACTGGCCTTGCTTCTTGTTCACGACTAGACTCTACTGGTAATAAAGTAAAATAATTCTGAAAAAATAGCTGGGACAACTAAATTCATGTTTTCATGGATAACGTTGGCTGGCTCATCAGGAAAAGTCACTCCAGGTGAGTTTTTAGGGAATGAAGTGGATGATATGTGATATTTCCAATGAGGTCCTGATAGCTTTTTATAGAACTGATGGCATTGGGTTGTCACAATAACATGTGGCTATAAGCAAAAACACACTGTCCCTTAAAAGCATTACAGACTCGTCAAGTGTGCATTTTAGTACACTTGCACTTGTTCTTCATTCTTCTGCTACAGCCTTGTCTCCTGCTAAGCTGCTCTCTGTTCTCAAATGATTTATAATGTCAGGAACGCACATACAAGAAAAGCTGAATAAGTAATAGAGTTGTAAAGGAATAGTTATGTTCATTTATAATGCACCATTTGTCGATGATCTGAAAGACATTATTTCAGAGGTAATTTGGGGGATGTTAATAGCCAGTAAATGTGTCCATCTTCATTCTTATTCTAAATAAGTCATTACATCGTAGGGAGGATTTGTCATCATGTTTAGCACTGTCCTTAATTGTCTACAGTTTTCATAGCTTGCTCTTTAAAATTAAAATGTCATAATGTGCTTTTAACAAATTTCCAATTTTGAGATATTATGCATATACTAAAGTATGCCAGTCTTTGGATTTTAACAAAGGCAACAAATGGCAACATTTCCAAAAGTTGGTCTAGCATCCATTGATTTCGTAAGACTGGCACACTCCCAAATGTGAGATAAAGTGAATTGTGCAGTTTTCCACATAATCCAATCCTAAAAATAAATTTGCAACTTTTTTTTTTAAAAAAGCTTGGCCAGAAATATCTTAATTAATTGGCATACCCATTTCTCTGAATATGGCCTCTGAACAATTAGTCTGAAGACTGGGGAACAAGCAACATTCCATCACCTTCCCTGGGATATCCTTGGCCTTAATGTTGTTAGGTGAGATTTGTTCTCCAAACACAAGAGAAACAATTACATTCTTGGGAGTGCCACTGTTAATCTCTATATCGACATCCACCAAGTTCAGCCATTTTCTAGATGATTTCCCATTTGTGGTGGGTCTGTGATGGGGACACAGAGGGAGTGAAATTACCTTAACCATGGAATGTTTTATCCACAGTGTATGATTCCCTGGAGCATTCCAGTGGCCTGGTCTTTCTGTCTCTGGATCCTGAGTGATCCTAACCCCTAGACAGCCTTCCATGGCCTTCTGTGTGCACAACTGAACTCTCTTCTTATTTGGTCCCAGTTGTTCACACTTTGCATAATGTACTAATCAAGTAAATTCTCAAGCACTAGTTTTCATCACATTTGCCTACAAATCATAAATTTTCACTAAGATTCTTTTTCCTGTAAGGTAGCAGTCAAAGCCTGACATGTAAGGCCCTCTGAGATCTGACCCCAGCCCATCTTGTTGGTCTTTCTGTGTGCACCTCTAAAGAAGGAGGAGTTTGTGTTCTGATCACCAAGTCACCTCTCTGCTCTGGGCCATCCTAGACCTCATCATCATTTGCATCCTCCAGCTCTGTTTTGCCACTGATCCTTTTTTCTTCGGCTTAGCAAAGTCCAGTTCAGTCCTGTCTCCCCCTTTGAGATCTCCCTGAACAACATAGCAAAGGGTCAGGGATTCTCCTCTGCTGGGGACTAAGTCCCCATCCTATTCCGTTTACTCATGTCCTATGCAGGGATAGTTCTTGTATTGACATCTTGTTTGGATAATGAACTTACACTTGCTGGTGACATGTTTGATCATCAGGCTTGTGTGTTATACCTCATTTTATGTGCCATGGCATCTTGTGCAGAGTCCCTTGTCAGGAGGCAAGATGAGAATAGGAACCAGCTGTGATTCCTGTTCTCTCAGCTTTGCCTTCTGCACTGGGGAATCCCTTTTTTCATTTAGAGAGATGATAGACTGAACAGCTGAATACATGAGCAAGGCCTCTAGCTCCTGGTTTCTTTGAGTTGTTGAGTTGGTTGTGGGATCTTAGGGCCTCCATTATTAAAGCAGTGCTTTTACTGATTACTAGGCATCTGAGTTCTTACTCCTGTGACCACATGTAAGCAAAGCAATTAGTGCCTGATGCACATTGAGTGCCCACTGAAGGTTTGTTGTTATTATTAAACATGGTGCCAAAAGACTTTCCTATATTAGGTCCCAGTCTTCTCTTTTAAGAGAGTGTCAGATGATAATAAATGCACAGGATCATGACTGAGTCATGGACTTTGGAGATGGAGCTGTGTCTCTTGGCCTGGACTGGTAGATCCAGCAGTTCTCAAGGTGTCTGAAACACAGGACCTTGCCCTGGTTCCTCTATGCAGGGGAGGGGTAACAAACTCAACTCCACTTGGAGAATTTCTTTTTTATCGTTTTGTATTTCCTCCTCAGCATAGTTTCAGAACCATAGCAATAGCTTGTCAGGCTCAGGAAGAATCTTTCTAGCTTTAAACTGAGACTAAACCCAAGATGAACACAGCCCAAGGTGGGATAGAGAGGGGAAGAAGACAAGCCAAAAACATGCATATGAAATAATTGAGACCTCTAAGCCGTGTACTCGGGACAGACCTCAGACTGTCACATGTCCCCAACGTTTCCTGAGCTCCCTCCCTGAAGCTGAGCTGATGTGTACAGAGGTGAGCTACAACACACAAGTCTGCTTGCTCCTTAATGGATCCATGTGGAAGTTACCTCTTTACTGCATTTACATAGGCTCGAATTTTCTGCCTAATGTACTGTTTTTCCCTTGGCCTCCATCTACCACAACTGAGATGAGTCTCCCTCACTTCCTGTGAGTCTGACCTACCCTTTTCTTCCACCAGAAGGTAACCCATCTTGCTACTGGACACACCTGAGGCGCACACAGGGCCGTCTGCCCACGAGGTGGTGAGTGGGAGTTACCTTGAATTCAGTCTCAATGTTGGCTAGTCTGGCTAACTCGTTGCTTAGCTCCAGCGCAGTGAGGACCGGGTCTTCGCTAGACAGGGACAAGTAGGCGGCACTTGCCAAGCCCTTGTAGGCATTCATGCGCGAGCGCGAGTGGCTGAAGGAGTCCTTGCGCTGCTTCTCAGTGCACTCATTGCATTTACAGAAGTAGTCGTGGGGCCGCTCGATGCGCGCACCCTTGAGCAGCAGGATGTGCACGATCTCGTATTCCTGGCAGTGTGCTGCGAGGATGATTGGTGTGATGTCATGGGAGAAGCGTGTCCCATCCTCGTCATAGGCATAGAAGTCATCATCCCGCAGCTCCTGCTCCAGCGGGCTGAGTGTCAGGCGCTGACCCTGTGCAAAGGCTGGGTGGTTAAGGATGGCTTCCACAATGCGCACATAGCCCTTGCTGATGGCCAGCAGCAGCGCATCCCCGACCCGTGCCAGGTTCTCCTTTTTGAGCAGCAGCTCGGTGACCTCCAGGTGTTCGTTGCCCACGGCCAGCTGCAGCGCGTTCTGCCCCATGTAGTCCACACAGTTGAAGTTGAGGGTCTTGGACTCCTCCAGCATTTTCCTGACCACCGGGATGTTGCCATACTCTGCGGAGTCCAGGAAGCGCTCCTCCTCAGGCGTCAGGCTCGTCCCCTTCTCATTGAACATGTAGGCAGGACCTCGGATGGCCTGGCGGCGGCCCTTCTCTCTCAGCGTCGTGTGCCGGCGCTGCATGTTTTTGAAGGTGCTGCTCCCCAACCTGTGGACGATAAGGCAGAGACATTCATTTACTCTCCCAGGAGCCTGGTGGTTCTTCCCCAGGCTTGGGGGAAGCACAAACTCTCAAGGTAGAAAAAGAATTGGAAACCTTTAAAGAACTGGTGAAATGTTATTAGAGCTCATAGTCTGAATCATCATCATAATGCAAATTGGATCCCGAACTGGATTTTAAAATGGTAGTACACCAACTTCTTTACTTGTTTTTTGCCATCTCTTGGTTCAGGTGGACTGGAACAGGAGATGGGGGTGGGGACGTGTGTGAGGTTTGTGGCTGTGGTTTTATTTCTGTTCTCATAAAGTTGAGCCAGTAGTGTGATCCTTCTGTGCTGGTTTTCTTAATGGTACAATTTAGGTAACTTTTTGTGTGCCAGAGAGTCTGTAGGAGGACTATAAATGTTGTTCAGTGGCATGTAGAAGGTACCTGCTCAATGTTGGCTTTATTTTTTCCTTTTGTGTCTTTTGAGATGCCCGGATCTCCTGGGGTAGCCTTGTGGACTTGGCCCCCGTAGTTATTGCTGCTGTTGGCTCAGGAGCCTAGTGAGTCCTTTGCCTGTGGTGAAAACTCAGTAATATGAGAGCATCAATTCCTCCGTCCTGTGCTGTTCTCTATGGAGTCTGTGCTTTCTAAGCTTCATGCAGCTTGAGCATCTGCTAAGGGGTAGGGTGTAGCAGAGAGATGTCTGGAGTCATTGCCAGGGAATCTGCATTCCAGAGGGAGTTTATATGTGGATGGAAGAAGTAGGTCAACTTACATGATAGATCTACTTCCAACTGAATACATAGTCTGAAGATTAATACAAATACTGGAAGTAATAGCAGTAAATATTTATTAAGTACCTATTTTATGCCAGGTACTAAGAGTTTCTACTTGTCAAGTTTTATAATTTTTTGTATTAAAACTGAGAGAAGGGTCCTGTTACTGTCCCCATCTCAAATGAAGATGCTAAGTGCAAGGAGACTAGAAAAACAGGTTTTAATGTCAGTAGGCTTGCAGTAGAAATCTTGGCTCTGCCATATGCCAGCCTTGTGACTTTGGACAAATTGCCCAACATTAGTTTGAGAAGTCTTTTAAATGGCAAAGTGTAGTGAATACAACTATTGTTTATTTTGAGCTCAACTCCAAATATTCTATCTCTATTCAGCCTTGAGACTTAAGCAGGTCCCTTCTTCTGGGTCTTAGATAACAAGGTCACTGAACAGATGTTTTCTAAGTGCTCACTGACTTGGACTTGCTTAACTTTTCTGTTTCTCCTGTGTTTTCTATTTGACTTTTCTAATGTAGCCCCATTACACTATTCAAATAATATTAGAATGGCATGCATTTTATCAAGAATATCTGGTCTAACAAATAAATACTTTAGGATTTGTTTTTATTTTCTCTGGTGTCAATGTTTTGAGACTTAGGAAATCTCACGTCATCAAGTGTTATGAATGTCAAATCTTTTGTTTCCATTAAGTTTTTCTGCTCATTTAACCTTTGACTTGCACAAGCCCCTTTGAATTTAGCTTTGTAGGGAGCTTCTCTGGAGCAAAGAGGAAGAGTGGGGTTGAGTGTACTCAGTCGTACTTGAGGCGGAGTTATGCTCCTCATGGGAACAGCTACTGAACTGTACAGTGGAGCAGCTTCTTCAACTGCAGCAAATAAAAGTAATAATTATGGACAACTCCCTCCAAAGGCAACTGTGAGTGCTAAAACCTGAGAGAGAATCTGCACCCTCCAAGGAGGAAGTCTGAGCTGCTGTCCACTGTCCGGAAGAGCACTTTGAGGAAAGATTGCTGTGGAAAAGGTGCTCAGGATTCAGGTCCATGAGCTTTTTGTGAGCCCATCTCCTTCAGCACTACTGTCAGTCCAAGGAGAATGGCTGCTTGTTGGTGCCAATGGCAGACCAAAGGTGGGGAATCTCATAGAATCCTTTAGACCAGAGAAGGATTTACCAACTGGGAGTTTTCAAGAGAGAGAGAAAGGTGACTGAGTTGAAAACAGCAGTGTGTGTGTGTGCGCACGCATGCACACACGTGTGCACACACCCGAAGGGCCTTGTTTCAGGTGATACAGTGATCCATCCACACTCAGGTGAAGGCTGAGCCCATGCTAGACTAATGTTCCTCACAGAGTTATTCAGCCTGTCCTTTGATAGACGTCTATCCCATTGTGAGGCAGCTCTGAGGGCGTAACCATCAGAAGGAAACCCCCCAAAAATCAATTTTCTCTTGGGAGAATCTGAGCCGTCCATCAGATATGAAAGCACAACAGTCTTGGAAGAGGCAGGCACTACCGCAGGACTCCATGTCACTTGCCAGTAGAATCTGCTCAAGAGGGTGCAGCTATTACATAGCAGCAAGCCTCAGGGAGATTAATCTAAGGGAATGTAAAGTATGCGGAACCAGGACAGGGCAAAGAAACATTTCACTAGGAACATGTAAGTACCCCATCAAAAGTCATACACATATCATAGATTCTCCAGCCTATGAACGTAAAGGATGTGCAGGTAATGCCTGCTAATGCTTCTCATTAAAAAGTGCAACAAAACGTGAAAAGCAATGTATTAGTATTCTAGTCCTTTAGGAGAAGCTGAAGTAGTTAAAATGAAAAGGCTAAGCCTTAGGGGAAAGAATTTCTGTATAAGGCTGGAACATCATATACATCTTGATGCCATAACTTAATCAGCTGTTGTCAGAAATGAAAATGTCCTCACCAGTTGTCCTGCATTTTTCTGCATGACCTTGAAAGCAGACACCTAGATGTAGTAAGAAATAAACAAGCCTCTTTTTCAGTTTTTAAACATTTGCCTTGAGGTACACAAAACTGTCTTTTCTTCTTTGGTAGAGTGTAGCATTACACTGGGGGCCCTCCGAACCATCAGGTCATGTATACCAAGCAGAAGCTCATGGGGCATGCTGCTCACTTCCTCCTTGGGAGTTGCTGCTGTGGATCCTGGAGCCCTGTGAATTCACTCAGTTACTGATGGAGGCCTTTTCACCTTACTGAGGGTTTCCTCTCAGCTCTGACTCCTTCTTAACATTTATATGCCCATGTTTATATTTTCTCACATATCTTTGAAATTTAATCTTGATATTACAGATATTTTCACCTTCCATAGGTATTACATGAATTGGAAAGAACCTGCAAAGGACAACGTGTCAGCACGATCAGGTGCTTTGGTCCCCAGTAGTTGGTGACAGAGCTCATGTTCTTTAATCCAGTGAGTTAGGCCTCTGGACTCTGGTGATCTTATCAAGGGTTAGGGCCAATAATGAGTGAAGTGATTCTTCCTAAAATGCAGTTGATGTACAATTGCTCTTACTTTAATATTTTTCTTAAAAATGAATTTTGAATACGAATGTCTACTTATTTGCATATATTTTTAAAATAATGAGTGATCAGACTCATCAAACACCTCAATTAAGATACTGTGTTTTTCATTTTCCCGAATGCATACATTGACATTTAATGTCATTGAGAAGAAGGGTTCCAATGAAAGCAAAACTATATTTGAGAGCAGGACTGATTATTAAACTCCCTCTTGATCTCTCCATTTCTATTTTTATCAAGCTGCTCTTACAGATGCATCACCCAGTTTGAAGGGAGCCAGATGTTAGTAATCCATGAAAATAGGAATCTGGCACCTGAAGTCCAGCTGAAATTGAGCATGACCGTAACGTCTTCTGGAAGACAGGATTTGTCACTAATTACTGGGAAGAAAAGGCCATTTCATCATGTGTTTTTAGAGATATCTGTGTCACCCCCTGCCCCCCAGATGGCTACATACATCAGAGGTCTCTGGGAATTACCCACACCCAAAAGAAATTCAACCTGGAACATTTCTGAACCGAATGTAAAGCCAGATTCCAGGATGCAGCTGATGTGCTTGGGAGAGCCCAGCTCTAGTCCCTGTGTCCTCTCCCAGTGCTTCTGTTCTAAAGAAGGGCAGGAGCATCTACAGGGATTGGAGTCTTCCCCTCTCAGTCCTGCTGTCAATCAAAAGGGAGTAATAACACCCACCCCTCCCCACAGTGAAGATTTAATCATGCATGCCAGACACTCGGGATCCTAGAAAACCTCAAATGCCTGTGGTAATAACGATGACATCTGCACATTAATACACTTAAGTACACAATTATTTAAATTGGCTTGCATTTCACGAGCTCTACACTGATACACTCAGCTCAGCTATTTTTAAAAAAATGATTATATAATAGTAATAGTTAGCATATATTACACATTTGCCATATTGCCAGACCTGTGCTAAGTGCTTTATAGGAAATATTTTCTTAAATAAATTATGTGATAAGCTTAACTATTTTACAAAATGATGCTTTCAATCATCGTGATTAAGACTCATGGCATGTTAACCACTTGCCAGCCACAATGCTAGGTTTACATGGATTATTATTGAAGATGTTCATAAACTTCTACATGATTTAAGTGTCCTTGTTCTTCCCATTTAACAGATAAGAAAATGAGTCTCAGATAAATATAATATTCTCCTGAAGCTGCCCAATTTGTGGGTATATAGGATGCTAGTCTGTCTGATTTCAAAGGCCCTGCCTCTATCCATTCTCTATCCAAAGTATCTACCTCTATCCATTCTCCTTCCTGCATTTTCCCTAAGATGCTTCACATTCTAAGTTTTCCATTAGAATACAGGATCATTGAGGGCAGGAGAATGACTTACTTAGGTGTCTCGTTCACCTGGCATGTACCACCCTGGTGCCTGGTGAATAGTTACTGCCATAAACTTAATCAGTCCTTAAATATTTGATCTGTGTTGATGATTTAAGGAGATCAGTGAAATTGAGATATTGACAATAACCAGAATCCTCCTCTCGACAAATACAGGAGCAATACCTGTTCTTTTCTATATGACTGACAACTTTAAAAGAAGATATGAGTTCCAGCATAAAATTGATTTCCAATTAGCTCCACTAAATGCTGGCTTATAAACTGCTCGATGAGACAGATGATATCAGAGGTTATATTAGTTCCCTTGAGTGACTGGGGCAGAAAATTGAGATATCTCTACTGCTTTATAATGCTAAAAATATTTACAGATTTCAATTTTCCACACTTTTGATAAGAATCATTTTCCTTATTCTGTTGCGGCTGAGGTGAGATTATAGATATCAATTACTTATCAGTGCTTAGTAAGTGCTCTAGTGACATATTGTTAAAATTAGCTTAATATAATTATGTTAATTGTGGAACTAAGGCATTCAGATTCCCAACTAAGCTACCAATGACAATTTGTGCAACAGCTATATGAGCATGTTTATATATATGATACCACCTAATTTCCACCCATGATATATGTGAGTCCATAAATTTACCAGATTCTAAAGGAAATAAGCAACCTATCACTCTACTACTCATGACCATATATTGTATTAAGATATACTTTACAAATAATTCTGCTAATGTGGGACACTTCCAGTACATCTTGGATTAAAAAAATATTATTGAGTATTACTGAATGTTAATAAATGGTTCTTTTATAATTTATTTTTTAACCTAATAATACCATTTCGGGAAGTTACTCTGTTTTCCATATTTCAGTAGTACTTTGTGTGTACTGCTGCTCCTGTCTTTTCATATTGGTCATTGCCTGTTTGGAAGTAGGGTTAAGAAATTGGGTGTCAGTATCTCATTATATATAGTTCAAGCTATAGCTGAAACAAGTTCTAAGAGTTGAATTTAAGAAATCAGTTTTGGAATAAAATGGATACATGTAATCTTTTGATTTTTTCCATTGGCCTTTGTGATAAATGAGTCTGAAATAAAGATCTGTTTCAGCAAAGCTGAAGAGGCCTTTAAATTGTGAAATGACAATACTGAAAAAAGTAACATGCTGAATATGTATATAGAGGGAAGTGCTGATTGCTTTTACTGAGCAAGAACTTGTGGTTGTGCTCATCCAAAATACCACATGCATTCTGCAATTAGCATCAGTAAGGTTCCACATACTTCTGATTTTTTTTCTGGGTTAATTACTGCCTCAGGGAGTTGGTCTACAGGCCTCTAAGCTTAGGAGCAAGTATTTTTGCAAATAACCATTTGTGAAATTATAATTGTGGCATAGAGCCTTCATAAGTTATTAAACAACTGAGTCACTACTATTGTTAAAAATATCTTAGAGAATAGGTTTTGCATCAAATCCATAATGAATATTCTGGAATTAATGTGAGTTCATTCATAAAACTGATGTATGCCCTGTGCCTCAGAAACAGGGCCCACCAGCAGGTGGCATTCTGAGGCAAAAATTCACTGGAGTGTCATCAGACAGAGTCAATCATTATTGCCTTTTTCAAATCTACCCTGAATCCACTAAGCCTTTAAATTACAATTAATAGCAGTAGCATCTTGGTTCTGTCTACTCAATCATACGTAAGTAAGTTTACCACTTCAAATTTAAAGAAGATACAGAGTATCAAAGATCATGTCGGAGCTCTGCCAGATTATATCTGTTTTATTAAGAGCATATTTGTTATTTTGAAATGGATGTCTAAAGGAGATGCACAGCTCATACTATACTATCAGCAAAGTAAGAAGCATAACAACCTTTCTTGCCACCTGTAGTTTTTCAGTGATAACTCTTAATTAGAATGTGGCCCTCCTCCTCTTGTCTCTGTATTTATATTAAGAGAAGCACAACCACAAAAACACCCATTTAGAAAGCTGTCAGTAATAAAACAGAAGCACACACACTCTCCTTTAGGAATAAAGCAATACTACTCCAGCACAAATGGACTAGGCGACCAGGAGCAGTTTTCTATTTCTAAATTATTTTGTAAACTTAGATTTCCAATATGAGAAAAAGAATTCACTCAATGCATTAGAATGATTTCAAATCCACACTCAGATCTAAAAATCTAACCAGAACCCAAGGGAGGGCTAATAAATAAAAGTTTAATTCCATTTTTTCATTTAGAAAACCACCTCTGCTAGAAAAATCGATAGAAGGAATTGTGGTAGTTGCTTACATGAGGGTAAAATGCTCAGGCTTGTCCACTTCTAGATGCCCGGAAGCCTGCGCCCAGCCGCGGGAATCTGGCTCCCCATGGGCAGCGGCTGGGTAATGCCGCTCTCCGAGGTGCTGAAGCGCGGAGCTGGTCCAGAGAGTGGAGTTGCAGTGATGCAAACACGCGCTCCCCGGTTCTTTGTGCTGCAAGGGTAAAAACCCGCCTTGTGGAGCAGAGCCGTGTTGCCGTCCTTTTCCCAATCCAGGAGAAATGTCTCAGAGAATATGACAGAGGAGCATCCGTGTTTGAGACCAGCATGCAGCGTGGGGATGGCTTGGTACTGTCCCCACCCCTCTGCCAGATGTAGCTTTGAAAGGAAGGCAACAACTCTGTCTTCCTACCACACAGCCTCTCGGAATTCCCACCAGCCCCTCCTCCTCGTAGAATATTGCACAGCACACAGGCACACACACAGACACGCACACACTCCTAGGTTATATAAGGCAGAGTGCTTTGCCTCCTGAGGCAGAATATTCACTGATTTAAACAGGTGAAAAATGAGGAATGAGTTGGCTCTCTACCTGAGGGATGAATGGTTTGGGTCTATGTGTTTATAGAGGGAGGGAGTTGAGAAGTAAACTAAATCCACTGGAGCCTGAAGTGTGACTAAGTAGCTTTCTTTGCTAATCCTCAGCGCCACACCCCACTTTGTCTTCTATGAGAGATGTGTCTTCTAACTTTATGCTTTTGCTTTGCACTATCTTGAATTAGGAAGAAATCATTTAATGTTAATAACTTTCGATATCTTGAAATTCCCAGTGCAAAAATCTGTTTTTCCAACAGCCCATAATATTTTTAGCAGCTGTTGCATTACTAAATGGTGTATGATTCTCAAAACACAAAGGAATCTCAAAAACATAAACAATGGAAAGAAACCTCCTCAATTGAAATATTGCCTGGCTAAGATAGAAACTCTGCTTATTTCTGGGACCTGTGTGGGTTGCTAAACAGTAAATCAGAGTGCTCATTCCTTGAAACTGACTCCTGGAGTAATCATTGGCACTGTAAAAAGATTGCAAACATGATATTTAAGATGAAAGTTGGCTCATAATATGTCTTGTACAAGTCCATTATAATTTTATATGTAAATAAGATTGTATTAACTCATTAAGATGATACTAGCATTTACTCTGGAGACAACATAATGTGTGAGGAACAACCTTTGGGTTTTGGTTCACTTATTAACTGTGTGATTTTGGCCACAACTTAATGTCATGGAGTCTCAGACTCTTCACACATAAATGGTGAATAATAAAGGGATTAAAAAATGATTTTCCTCCCATAGTTATGGTGAAAATTAATTGAAACAATATATACAAAACACCTAAAAGAGTTCACATATGAGGCATGTGTGACATATTTTAATGTTCCCCAAACTCAGCAGAAGTTAAAGTAAATCTCTATTTAAAACTGAAAAGTTTGATATTGTCCCCATACAAGCTTCCCAGTATTAATGGTTTTGCTTTGTTAAGTATAATATATTTAAATTTTTCTCCAAATTAAGACCTTTTCCTTTAAATCATTTTCTAATATGCAAGGATGAAAAATTTTTATTTTCATCATAATCAGAAACAATTAGATTTAGCTCATTTCAACAGAATGTTAATGAACAAAGAACTACTTAGTATTATGCTGAAGTGAGAAGGCCTTTGACACCATGGTTAAGTTGCCACTTGGGACACTAGCAGCCCATATCACAGTGCTTGGTGTGAGTGCAGCCTCCTGCACTTCCAAATCAGTTGCTACTTAATGCTCAGCTTGGGAAACAGAAAGTGATGGTCAGCACTTGTGTCCATGCCATTCCTGTGGGAGGTCTAGACTGATTCCAGGCTTCTGGCTCCAGCATGACTCTGCAGGTGTTTGGAGAGTGAACCAGTGGATGAAAGAGCGCTCTCTGCCTTTCAAATAACATTAAAATAAATCAGTAAGTAGATGGTATTACACTGAAGTGTAGAACAGAATATGATACGTGAAGCAAGTATGTTGCACAACCACAATGTGGGAAAGATTAACTCTGACATTGATAATATCCTTCTGAGTAGGATCCCCATCATTATGATTAGTGAAGCTGCTGTTAATGATAAATGCTTTCTGGAGACTGCTGGGTTGTGGCTTATAGTTCATCGTGATAGGGACGAAATTTTATTATAGTTTTAACAAATAACCTAGAGAATAGTTTCATGAAATCCTTTCATGAGCTATATTTTTGGTTTGGTTGATGACAGTAACTCATTAAAAACAAATAATATTTCAGAAAGTGTTACAATAGTAGTATAACAACCATTTATAATTATTTGATGTGATATGTACCTCTAATGTGTATATAGACCAAGAAAGGCAATAAGCTGCTTTTTCCTAGGTATATTCATTAAAGACAGTTGAGACTCAGGCTAGGCCAGTCTATGGAGGTGGTGGGAGAAGGTGGTATTTTGTGAAGGAAACAACCCACAGGGCTGTAAACAGACCCCTGAACCAAAGGTAGGTACTCATCATGTGAAACACATTATCATTGTTGATAAAGCAGCATCTCCCACTTATAAAACACAATGTTTTTGGCTCTTAACTACCCAACCATGAAGGTCCAGGCAGTTCTCGCCCAGAAGTCATCTAAGATTTATGTGTAAGGTCCTGAGGTTGGATTTCTCCCAGTCTCAACCTGACATAAGCTTAGGGTAGATTTGGTGATGCACTTGGCTTCTTTTCATATTTGCTTTTCTGTATTTTAACTCCAAATCCTTCTTTCTCCAAATGTGTCCCAGAGTTTTGTCACAGAGTTATAGTGAAGAAAAAAATGAGAAAGCTCACATAAAGAGCTTATAGCAGTGTCTGACACATCATCAGGGCTCCATGTGTGTCCCTGCCTGCTCTCAGTGTCGTTGAACAGCGAGTGTACTCTTAGTATGTGGTTCTAATATTTTACTCTGGCACCACCTTATCAATCTGACAAAAAGCTAATTGAAATGATTAGAAACCACAGTGATGCCTCACCTGCAAAAAGAGTTAATCTCTTCCATCTTGATTGATGTTAACATTACTTTTAAGTTTGTCCAGTGTGCACACAAGGAACACTAAAAATCCTGTGCCCTAACCTGTTTTAAAGGAGTGGAAAATTTTGTCTATAAGTAGGTACGGAGAGCCCAGAAGTGGCACAATGTCTCAAAGTGATGAATAGTATGATCTGAAGTGAATTATGTTCATATTTTTATGTTTTATGGAAAATTAAGGATTTTTTACTTTAGACTGCAATTTTGCAGATTTCTGTGGTTGTATGTTTTCATTATTTATGTAAGTTATGATTGGCCTATAGTCTATTAAAAGTTTGTTTTAAAAGTAAAGGCACTGTGCAGCATACATCTCTACTCCCAAATAAATAAGACTCCCAATGAAACTTAGAAATATACCGCTACACTAATGTTTAATTGTCATGAAACAATTAAAAATCAGCAAGTTAAAATGTGGCTTGTACTAAGGTATTATATATTGTGATAACAGAGGAAAATTGGCAGGGAAAGTGGGGAGGAAGAGTGGGGCGAGAAGGGATGAACCCTTAGACCTATAAGAGTTACCAAAAAGGTAAAGAGAAACCTATTAGGATATTCAGAAAATCATGGAAACTGCAACTAAAGGATAAATATTATGGTGACAGAATTTGTGTGGCAAAAAATGGAGGAAGGAAATAAATAGCTTATAATATGGAGATGCTGGAATCATTATACTCTGTCTTGCTAAAAGTCTCATGAAGGAGTTATGTCTACAGGACCTAGAGAGAAATCTGTTAACAAATCATAACAAGTACATTTGGCAGAGAAACACCAGGATTGCTTTTTAGTCATTATCCCTTTCTGAAGGCCATGGAACACAGCGGGACTGTGTGTAGTAGAAGTTTCTCGCTGCTAGACAGCCCTGAAATAATAAAGGGCAGGTAGTGATGTTGAAGAATCCTAAACCAAAGTGCTACAGTTACTGTGATGAACAGAAAAACTGGAGAGGTAGCCAAAGGGCAAGACTCACAGAGTTAGCAAAACATAGTATTCCCATGGATTTACTAGAAAATAGCTGGCTGGGATACTGTTTAGTTAGTCTCTGTGGAAAAATAGAGAGAGGATGATAACAGGTAGGCTAAGGAAGGCTACTCCAATAAGAAGTTAATAAATCAGAAAGGCAGTCTGAAAAGGCAGCATACTGTGTAAATCCAGCTATATGTTATTCTAGAAAAAGCAAAACTAGGAATATAAAAGAAAGGCCAGTGATTATCAGGCATTGGCATTGGAAAAGGATGAACAGGTTGAACACAGAGGATTTTTAGAGCAGAGAAAGCATTGTTTATGATACCATAGTTAATGGTAGACACAAGGCATTATACATTTGTGAAAACATGTAGAGTGTACAATTCCAAGAATGAACTCTAGTGGAGATTATGGGCTTGGAGGGGATAATAATCTATTACTGCAAATTCATTGATTACAATGAATGTAGCATCATGGTGTGTGATGTGGGTAATGGAGGGAGACTGTGGCAGAAAGGGGGCAATCAATTTTTCTGACAACCTAAAATTGCTCTAAAATGTAATATTATTTATAATTCAGTTTTTTACTGTTATTCTCCATGGTACAGTTTTGTAGGTATAGGGTTTTCGTGCTCCCCCAACTCTGTCCCCAATTTAGCCTGTAGCCATTTTCTTCTTATATTACTACAATAGGATGGTCCTTTAGTAACAGTTACAAATTTAACATTCTGCTATTTAAATGTATCATAGCAGGCACAGGCAATAGTTGAAAACCTAGTGTCATATTGTAAAGATATATTTACCAGTGTTATTGGGAATCCTCCTTTTATTCAGAAGCAGAGATGCATATTGCAACGTATTTTCACTTCCGACTGTGCTAATCTCCATTATACAGTTTATCTATGAGAATATAAGTGTGTATATAAGTTTACCTAAATATCTGTTCATTTTGTATTAGAGACAACATGTGGTAGTTGTCCTTTTGGAATGGGCTTAATCCACTGAGCATAATGGTCTCCAGTTGTGACCGC